TGGATCCTATATGTAGAAAAGACTTTAAAGGCTAATCTGATCTGGCTCCTGGCCTCTGAGTCACCTGCTCAGGTACAGAAATGAAGTCTTAAGAGACATTTGCTCCAGCTGTCCACACCCACCATAAATCCTCCATGCAATATCTTGAAAGATTTTTTGGGGGGTAATAGCACCACTAGGTTGTGCAGTAAAGTCTACCCTGCACATTTTACATGTGTTAGTAAGAACTATCATTTGCTGAGGGCCTGCAGTAGTAGACTGTTAAATCTACATTTAAACCTCATCAATTACTTTTAGGGAAAGCATTACTATCTCTATTTTATAGATGGAGGCTTGGAGTTCATTAACTTGTTTTAGCATCAGCTGTGATGTGGTGAAGCTGGGATCAAGGGTGGGTCTGTGTGGGTTACAGCTGCCCCCTTCCCAGCCACCTGCTACCTTTCGAGGGGGCTATTCCTATCCTTGCTATTGAACACAGACCTCTGGGAAGTTGCCAATGTTAACCGTCCTTTAGTAGTTCTTTCTTTTTTTAAAATGTATTTAGTAGAGGGTCTACAGGGTCTCACTACACAGAATGGACTCGTAATGATCTTCCTGTTTTCAGCCTCCCAAGCTCTGGGATTACAGGTGCGCACCACCATGCCCAGTCTCAATCACCATGTCAGCATACCCCAGAGGCGGGGCCAGCATGGCATGCTGGGAATTGAACCCCTGATCCATACGTCAGTCTAGGGTTTTGGAGCCCTATAGGACCTACAAATTAATTTCAGGAGATCATAAGCCCACTGAAATCAGATGCAAAATTTGGCATGTATCTGCATATTTGAATTTTTCTGGGGAAAATGGTCCCAAGTTTCTATCAGATCCTCAAAGAGATTTGCAGTTCAAAAACAGAGTTAAGAATTACTGTGGTCAGATCTAAAGAGAGACTTTTATTTTATTCATTTTTTTAACTAGAAAATGTGTCAAATATCGAATACCACTGACATAGGGAAGCGGTACATTTAGGGGAAGGAAATCAGCTGTCAAATACTAAATACCAGCCAAGGTCAATGCAATGTCTGCTTGTAAAGCCATTGCAGAGTATGCTTGGAGACGCTCACTGAGTTCCATCTCTGTCTCAGCAGAACTATTTGACATTGCTTATCTATTTGTTCCAGAGAGCGCAATAAAATAGTATGCTTGACAAATCTGATACACAATGAAAAGTTATCAAGGTACATCTTACAATTAACCAAGGCCAGCTCACAGTCTGAACAAACTACTGACTGATGATTTTTAGGTGGGCAAATTTCTTTTGTCATCTTTAACAATTTTCTGTGTAGTAAAGTGAATGGATAGACGTTATAGCAGTTATGTGATTGCACATCTGATGAAAACACGGCTGGGAAATGCATTTTGCTTTTATGTCGTTCCCTGTCTGTAATACCCTGTCCTATATCTTTGGCCAGCAAACTTGAATACTGCTGTTTAAACAAACCCTAGATCAAGGTCTTCTGTGGCTTCTGAGATATCCCCATTTCTTCCTAAGGTAGAATTGTTCTGTAATCTCTGCACACCTTACATTCAG